AGCTTTGTGGCCGTCAGCCGTTGCTGTTCCAGCGTTGCAACCTGCTGTTTGCCTGCACATAGCGTCTGTTGTTAGGGCGTTCAAGCCTGCCGTTTGCCAGCGTTCAAACCCTGCCTCCCTCCCGGCAGCTTCCACCAAACCGTGTGGCGGTCAGCCTTTGCTGTTCCAGCGTTGCAGCCAGCCTTCCAATCGTCAAAACTTTCAAAATCCTTGGCAGGCTTCCACCAGACACTCTGGCCGCAGGCATTTGTTGGGGGACTGTTGCCGCCCGCGGTTTGCTTCCATCGCGTCTGTTGTTCCTGCGTACATTCCTTCCGTTTGCCAGCTTTCACACCTCTCAAATGCTTCGCGGCAGAGGTTTTGCCATTGCCATCTGTTCCTACGGCAAGCGCAGCTTCTTTCTATTTCACTTCCTTTTTTTCTTTGACTCTTTGTCGGGAACGTGCCAATGTTTCATCTGGCATCGTTTTCCCGACGGCGTGACATGCGTCACCGCAATGCGCCCACATGACTGCGATGACCAAACAACCGTTGAGCACACCGGGCATCTGTGCGCATGACACCGTGTTTTCTTGCTGACCGCACCGTCCTTCACATAAAATCGGTTCCCACAGACTGTTCGATGGTTGATTTGCCCTGTCCTGATATCGCTTCCACTTTCTCTGCAAAATGGACACCTGTAAACGATGCCTTTCTCTGTCACAACGCCATCCTGAACAGAAAATTTGTTCCCACAGACTGTTCGATGGTCTATTTGCCCTGTTGCCACGTTACTGGCCACATGCCCATTGCAGGTGGGACAAACGTAGTCATACTGTTTCGCACAGGGGCGTCCTTCCCTGACGCGGAAAAAGTTACCGCATGTGCGGCGGTGATCTACTTGGCCTGTTCGTACGGTACTGCTTACAGACTGATTGCAATGCGGGCACACGTATTGGAAAATCTTGCCCTTGGCCATGGCTTCTGCTGCCTTTCTTGGCCGCACCGCCCTCGGCCGTTCGTTGCTGTCGTCCTGTTGGCTATGTACCTCTGCAGGCCCCTCTGTGGTCATTTCTGTTCCGTTCTCTTGTCTGCGCTGTTTTGGCTTCGGCTCTGCTTCCTTCCTTTGGGGGCTCTCCTGTTCCCTCTTCCGTTTTCGTTCCGCGATGGCATCCCAGACATCGGCGATGGCGCGTGCCTTTTTTTCTTCCGCTGCCCTTCTCGCCACTTTCGCCTGCGTTGCCGCTACCCGCTGTACCGCTTTGCTGATGCTTCCCCGGGGAATGGGGCACTGCCAGCAGTTGCTACAGATTTGGTCACCATTACAAGAACGATGTTGCGCCAGCCAAGATTCAAAAGCGCACGCTGCTTGCTTTACCTTGCAGACGCTGCATCTCCACCAGCCCCATGCTTTACTCGAACAATCTAGACACACTCTATACCGCCCCTGCGTGCTCGTTTCCAGGCCCCGCCAGAAAATTTCTTTTCGTCCTTGCGTGTATTGCAAACACTACACACTTGTGTCTGTTCGCACGTCTTACAAATACGATAAAATGTGGCTTGTGGCCTTGCATGTTCTGTCTTGAATGCATCTTCCTGTTTCCACGCCGTGCAGGCCATGCATTGCCACGGCTGCTGCGCTTCAACATGCCTACGAATGCATTCCTTGCATACTCTCGCCGCATCTGCTCGTTTCCATCGACCAGCCGTGAATGCAGACCCCGGCTTTGCTTCATTGCATTCTTTGCATTGTCTTTCGTCTCGGTATTTCGCTTGCAGCGCCCTCCAATCCATTTTTTCACCACCCCAGAACCGCAACAGCAATTCCCGCCCTACTTTTGCCCCTTTTTGAAATGGTGCTGCAGGGAACGGTCGGTACACAAACAAACCATACCTGTCTTGGACTCGCGTTAATGCAATGTAAGCTGTCAATGGGTCGCCTGCTTCCCCAATGTGCATGTCCATGACAACGCCTTCTTTGCACGTTTGCCCTTGGGCTGCGTGGGCGGTTGCGGCAAACCCTGGAGCCAATGGAAACTGCTTCCGCGTGACACGGAGTACTGGCCGCTTCCGCCCCTTGTCCAGATACCACGGTTTCTTTTGCGGCGCTACGGGAAAAACGTTGTCTTCATCAATCCCTTCGACACGCCAGGTGGTCTTGGTCTTGAACCGGACCAAGATGCACGCCGGCAACTCGTTCCAAATCTGCGTCGCCTCTTGACTCGCCCCTCCGACGGCATCTGCATGCCAGACCCAGCCAACGATTTCCCCAGCACACCCACGTAAAATTCCACGGGTACGATCCAAGTGATCTGCGGCAGCAACTGGCATACCAATGCACAGCGGGAAAACACCATACAAGGATCCACAGTCCTGATCGTGGCGCTGCAGCCATGTCAATTTTTCTTTGCCCAGATCTGGCTTTTCGCGCAAAGCCGCGCTTGATATCCTGTCTTTTGCAATGGCATGGTGCAGCACCTGCCCTGTTTCTGCGGCCCAGGCCCAAACTTTGGCTCGCAGTTTATTCACGTGATACTTCACGGCATTTGTGGCGAAAATAGCCTTTGCCCCAGCGAACTTCGCAGCGGCCGCGAGGGAACCGTCTGTAACTCTAGCCTTGGACTGGCGCTCCTTTTTGCATATGTCACATTCCAAACTAAGGATTGCTTCTGGCGCTGCTTTTTGTCTCAGTAACTCCTGGCACGTGGTGTGGTTGCACTCTAGTCTGTGCCCGTTCCAGCTCCCAGGTACCGGCGTAGGACAGCCATGCAAAAATGCGTGGTTCGTATCGGACAACGCGCCGTTTCGTACTTCGTTTTGTAGACTCTGCAACCATATATCTTGGGTACGCTCGCACTCGACCAGTTCTGTCACGCCATGGATTCCGTCCGGGGTTTCGCCCCAGACTAATTCCTGCCCCCGGATGGTATGGGCTACTTTCTTCGTTTTGCATTGCGTCAACCATTCCCATGGGACATCTCCCAAAAAGGTTCCACGTGGCGGTGGCAGCTGCCACATATCACCTGCCACATATCACCTGCCAGAATAACGTTTAACCCTCCAAAGGGACGAGCATATGCCGCATCCTTTGCATACTTGCCTTGGGCGAGATCCCGGACCAACTCTCGGCAACGCAACTCTAACCGGGCCAACAGCTCAGCGCTAACCATGCTGATTTCATCAATGATGAGCCATCGCCAGCACAACGCTTTGGCGCTCAGCTCCAGGAGCTTGTGCCCGCTAATGCGCTCATCGCCAAGGCCTTGCCAGTTCAAACCAAACGCGTGGTGGATAGTCTCGCCCTTCAAGTCATGGGCCATAACAGCCTGCAGTGTCACGACTTGGAATTCATCACCTTGCTTCCAGCCCAAAATGTCCTCAAACAATTCTTTCCGGAGACGATTCAATACATACGATTTCCCTGTACCGGGTCCGCCATGCACAGCCCACCGCAATGGCTCTAGCACCCCAAGGTTTTCAGACAAGATCTCCTGCACGACTTGGCTTGCAACTTTTCTACAAACTTCTGCTTGTTTGGCATTGCATCCATCTTGCGCGACGCCCCCGGCCCATTCTTCCACATGGTTTTTAAGTGCTGTTATATTGACAATTTCTTGCTGCACCTCGGGCTCCCGCACGCAACTGTCTTTCTCACAGCTGACCGGGCGCGCCTTGCATCGCACACTTTTTAGGAGGCTCTTGCTGTCCAAGCCTTGGCATGGGTTTGGTAACGGACAGGATTCACACGGAAGCGTGTTCCAATGCTTCTGCGCCCGTTCTATGGCATCAACGATGAGGCTGCGGTGCACTGACCACTTGCCTTTCGGCCCTACACATTCTGTTGGTCGGGGTTCAAGAGTGCCGTTTGCCAGCCTCAACCCCCCAAACGTTTTTTCGCACCGTTTAACTTTCGCAGCGGCCCTACAGACTGTCTTGTCGAGGCTTTCAGGGGCTGTTTGCCGGCCTTCAATCGGCTCAACCCTCCGCAGCGGCCCTACACAGCACTGTCTTGTTCAAACGGCTCAACCCTCCGCAGTGACGCTACACACTGTCTTGTTGAAGGCTCAAGACTTCAAACCCCTAAACGCTCTGCAGCCGCCCTACACACTGTCTTGTTGACGCTTCAAGGCTACCATTTGCGAGCCTCCCAACTCCCAACCCCTTACACACTGTCTTGTTGGGGCTGCGAGAGTGCCAGCCTTCAAACCCCTAAACGCTCCGCAGCAGCCCTACACAGTGTTTTGCTGAAGCTTCTACTCAAAACTCCCGTTGCCAGCCTTCAAACGCGTCAACCCTCCGCAGCGGCCTTACACACTCTATTGTTGGGGCGTTACGCCGTTTGCCGGCCTTCAGACGCGTACTGTTCGCAGCGGCACTACACATTCTGCCGTTGGCGGTTCACGAGTGCCGTTTGCCAGCCTTCAGACCTTTATTCAAACCGTTAAACCCTCCGCAGCGGCTCTACAAACTGTCTTGTTGAGGCTTCAAGACCACCGTTTGCTAGCCTTCAATCCCTAGCCACACTGCCTTGTTGGTGCTTCAAAGGAGGGTCGGCGGCACCCGGGCGTTAGCCCATTCTATATGTATATTTATATTTGTATATATGTATATTTATATTTATTATTCCTTAATAGTTTTCATGTGCATGTATATATATATATATGTATACGGATGTATTTGTACATGTATTTGTCTATACATGTAATGCATCAAAATCTGAATATAGAATGTAGAAAACACAGCAAAGTTGGATGTATCGCAGAGATATGTATATATATATTATACAGTATACTTCTGGATACCCTCCAGTAAATTAACATAGACCCTGGTAGGTAGGGGTTGGAAGATTCGTTTCCTCTAAAAAAAATGGTGATTTTCGGGGTCTATGTTAATTTACCAGAGGGTAAATGATCATATTTCACTAATCTGCGACGGTTTTGTTAGCTATTCCTCTTTTCCACTAATCTGTTTGTTGGATATACAGCCATACACAGCTATGTTAGATATTCGAGATGTGCGTCCTCAGTGACTGTGGGACCCAGCACCCAGCGGAAGGCTTGGAGCGCGTCGTTGGCGCTCACCTGGTTGTTAGATTCGACAAATTTGACCAACAAACATGTGAATTTGAGAGGATTGTTGGCCCAAAATAGTAGGGATTTAAAAATTTAAGATGATTCACGTTGATTCAAGCACTCGAGAAATGGTGATCTGACCATCAAAAATAAGCTGTTGACCAACAAGAATTGGGACTTGACAAAAAAAAACTTGTTCCAGTGATTGAACCATCAAAAAATGGTGCTACAAGGATAATGATTGACAACAATGGGAATGTTCATCACCAAACAAACCAATGGGAATGCACCCAATGGGGTGTTTCTATTGATTGAACTCGCAATGTGTTGTTAGTTGAACTCTGTGTTTTGGGGTAGACTCGCAGTTTGTGTTGCTTCAACCGTTTAAACTCATAAGTTTAGATGATGTAATACTGCTATAGGTCAAAACCATCAACTCTCAAAACGATTGCCATCCTAACATATCAACTGAGTTGGTATATGAATGAGATATATGGGCCATGGTATACATATATATATAGATAGATATATATATATATCCCATATATATCCCATAATATCCCGTATATATTTAAATCTTCGCCCAATTCCCTCAGCCCTGGGCCTGTCCGTCATCACCACCAAGGAAACCCTCAAGCTCCTGGCATCGGAGCTGCGGAATGGGATCGGATCCAATGAAAATTCAACCAGCCTATGAATGGGATATAATCTAATAAGGTATATGTATATATATAATTAATATATATATATATACATTGAATCGGATATATGAAATGGGCTATCATTTTTGGGGGATCCAATATGGGGATTTCACAAACCAGAATGAGCACCGCATCAACCAGTCGAGCCGTGGCAGAAGCAACCGAAAAATCAGAAGTTCACCATGGAAAAAAATGGGGAGTTTTTTAGGGGCAGGGAAGGATTGTTGACCATCAAGATATCAGGAAATTTCCAGAAACGTGATATGATCTGCTCATAGAATTACCAGTCACATTGAGCCAACAGAGTTTTGGGCCTTGGAAAAAAAAAAAAATGGATTTAGGCACCAAGAAATTCTGATTTAGCAGCTCTTCGGCATCAAGACATGGGGGACAAACCCGACAAAATGGAAGTAGGTGTGCGAAACCTGCAATCTCCCACTAAAGAATGAGTGAATAGGTGTGAAGCATCTTCATTTTCAGGGATGGGAAAGAAAACATGTTGAAACCACCAATCAGTTATCCAGTTGATGCTACCCAAGGAGTCCAGGAGTGGTCGATTTGGACTTAATCAACAATATGAATTACACGCTCCGAACTCCGAACTCTGTGTGACAATATAAAGCCATCACCATCATCACCTTCATCACCACCATCAGCATCATCATCCAGAGTCCATGGATGGAATCCATGGAACGTGGCCCTCCATCATCCTCAGTAAGTGGTCAGTAAGCCTGGTTTCATAAGTCCTTAAAAATTCTGTAGCTGGTCTCACCCAACCATCATTTTAGTTATAACCCAACCATACCACATGAACCACATGAACCAGCTGCCGCCCATCTCCTCCAACGACCCCGCGTCACCCTTCAAGGCCAGCAGACGTCCGTAGAATCGACCCAGAAGCTCCTGGGCCACGTCGGCCACGTGCCATGCCCCAGCGATGATGTTTTGGGCCATGGAAATCCACTGAAATCCATGAAAGTCATGGTATTTTACCAAAAAAAAATGTGGATTTAACTTGCAACTTATGGTGATTTAACAATGAATAATGGAAATGGGAATTATTGCTGTGCTTGAAAGTGGGGCTACCCGTACCAAATGTCATATCAATAGGGAAAAATATCCGAAAATGATTTCTTAAACCAGTGGATGTAAAGGGGTACCTTGGACACACCCTTGTAAACCCATCAAGTTCCCTGGCTAGCTGGGACAACAACTAGATGTGTAATTATTTATAGATTGGAAAATGATTGAACTCAATTTCTCGGCTTTTCCAGACCTGTTTGATTAGTAGAGGCCATCCCATTATATATTCCCATGATTTGTCCAATGAAAATCACCAATCAAACCGTATTATGCGTTATGTTGTATTCCCATCATTGGCCATTAAATCCCATCTCATGCTGGTTTTTGAAGATTATTCCCATGAGATTCCCATGATATCACCACGACGTACCATTATATGCCCCCATGATATTCTCACTATATCACCACTAAATCCTCCTTAAATCATCCTCAAATCCATCTTAAATCCTTAAATCATCTTCAAATCATCCTTAAATCCGTAAATCATCCTCAAATCATCCTTAAATTCCTAAATCATGCTCAAATCATCCTGGAATCCTTGAATCATCCTCAATTCCTGCTTAAATTCTTAAATTATCTTCAAACCATCCTTAAATCCTTAAATCATCCTCAAATCACCATTAAATCATCCTCAAATCCTCCTTAAATCCTCAAGTCATCCGCAAATCCTCCTTGAATCCTTAAATCATCCTCAAATCACCCTTAATTCCTCAAATCATCCTTATCCTTAAATCATCCCCAAATCCTCCTTAAATCCTTACAGTAAATCCTCCTCAAATCCTCCTTAAATCCTTAAATCATCCTCAAATCATCCTTAAATCAAATCATCCTCAAATCACCATTAAATCATCCTCAAATCATCCTTCAATCCTTAAATCATGCTCAAATCCTCCTTAAATCCTTAAATCATCCTCAAATCATCCTTAAATCAAATCATTCTCAAATCATCATTAAATCATCCTCAAATCATCCTTCAATCCTTAAATCATGCTCAAATCCTCCTTCAATCCTTAAATCATGCTCAAATCCTCCTTAATCCTTAAATCATCTTCAAATCATCCTTCAATCCTTAAATCATGCTCAAATCCTTCTTAAATCCTTAAATCATCCTCAAATCATCCTTAAACCAGATCATCCTCACATCACCATTAAATCATCCTCAAATCATCATTAAATCCTCAAAGTATCCTTAAATCCCATATTTGTTGATGGTGTATATCCCCTCCCCATGGCACCTCCGCCCAGCGTTGGCCGCCCGCCGGGCCGCCTAGCACGGCCACCCGGAAGCGGCCCAGGAAGGCACGATAGTCTACGTCCTGGGCTTAGCAAAAATGCCGGGGGTTAGGAAGGAAAAACGTTGGAAAAGATAGAAAAATCTGGGGAAATCTTGGAAAATACTGGAAAATATGGAGGGTCATCTGTGAAAACATGGATTTGACCTGCAACGATTTGGGAATTAACATGATTTAACCAGGTTAAGCAGCACAAAATGAAGATGTCACCGAAAAAGTCTGGTTTTGGCTGGCACATTGTGGAGTTAACCACCAAAATGATGAGTTGAACAGGAAAGAATTGGAGTCAGAAAGATTCACCATGCTGAATTTTGCCAACAATATGCATTGTTTGACCAGGAGGATGTTGCGATTTAGATCAGAATTGGGAACCAGCGACGAATTGGGAGCCAGCAACAAAGCTAGGATTTACCCAACACAAGCGACGAATTGGTTGGGTAGGGGGAATGAATCAGGGCAAGCTGGTAGTGAGATGCGTCAAATCTGTTCTTGAACTACTTGAACTATGGAATGTTTATGTCATGTCCCAAGCTTGGCTGTTGAGCCAATGTAAACTTCACCCAATCACCAAGTCTGATGGATTTCACCATCGCCCAATGGCCCAAGGGGGAGGTGCCAGCACCCACCAGTTATCCAATGCCCATATCGCCTTGGTGAGGGTATCTTTCACTTTCAGGACTTTACCTCGGCTCATCGCTGTTCCCAGTTCCCAAGCGTTTCACATCTTTCCCTACGCTGGACAATGAACCTGAACCTGAATTGTTGGAGTTGGGCGATGAAATTGATATGATCCCTGCTTGGTCACAACCGAAGCCACTATGAAGGATTCCGATTCTTTGTTGGTCATACATATCCAATTTCTGCTGGTTCATTTACTCAGGTGTTGGTTCTCTACTTTAATTTCCGCATGCGTTTGGTTAAATCCAAATCTTTTGGTGGTCTAGTCTAATTCCCTCATTTTCCCCATGTATTGGTAAAAGAACCAGATGTGTTGACTTAATTTCCTCATGTTTGACATGTTTATTCTCAAAAATTGCTATGTCTGTTGTATACCTCCAATTGACCATCAAATAATGCGGATGTTCACCATGGCATGCAGTGGGTCAGACACGCCCAAGTCCATTATACATTGGTTGAATACCTAGTTTTGATGGTTATAGATTCCATTACATCCTATGGTTGGTGCGTAAATCGGTAAATCCCATTAGACCCATATGATCATCTACAACTGGGTCTGAAAATAGCGTATCCAAATTTGCTATCAAATAATGCAGAGTCTCCATTTTCTCTAGGTAGGCAATGTTCCATAGCTATGTAACAAATTACCAGAGCGCCATGGAATTTCTGTGCACCAACGCCTTGGGTTTTCCAAGTTGCCAATGGTCTTCCAATTCATCGTCTCGCCAACGACGGCTTTCATACCATCCTGGCTCGGCTGATGCGCTCAAAGCCACGGTTTCACAACCCAAAGCTGGTGGTTTCACATCCTCTTCCCCATATTTCCCCACGTTTTTCCCATTCGATCGAATTATATTCATTGAATATCGCTTTATGTCTTCAAAAACTCAGTTTCCCCACTCTTCTCAGCACTTTTTGCTCATTCTTCCCATTCTTCCCACGAAAACGCCCAGCGTTTTTTCTGCGAGCAAGGCATGCGCCGCCGGATCCGCTTGGATCTGCTGCGCAAGGCGTCGGCCCAGCGTGCGCGAGCCCAGGCGCGAGAAGTGGAGACCGTCGATCTCCCAGAGCTCGCTATCTTTGGAAAAGGGAAGCAACTCGCCTGCGGCGTTGAACCATGGCGTTGAACCATGGCGTTGCCATGAAAAACCCATGCAGATTGATATGGTTAACATACTTCATCTATAATATAATTATATATATCGTATATACATATGTTTTATCTGGACATGTGAATATCAGTATGATCAGTATTTATATATATCAACTCACCTGCCGTGGAGATAGACCGATAGACCCATTAAATTTTGGAAGTAGGTTGGAAGATGCATGTCAACTCAAACTTGTGGCCATGTTCAGGGTCTATGTTCATTTTCTCACCTGCCATCGAGATTGATATGATTGATATAGCTCATTTGTATGCTTAGTATGGATTTGTCTGGGAACCTATGTCGATTCTATTGATGCTAATAATGATATGAAGCTAACAAAACTGGTGTGATACAACTACCCATTGCTGGGGATGGCTGGGGTGGCTGATGGCTTGTTACTATGTGAACATATCAATGATAAATGGCAATATATGGTAATATTGCAATATGGTTTATAGAAAAATTGTGAAATTAGTAATAATATATTTGTATTGATGTTGATATTGAACTATTTTTGTTGCTATAATCCAATGCTACAAATTGGAACAATCCACTTAAGAAAAATGTGTGGGATGGAGATGGATGTTGATCTTAGTACGAGTATGAATATGAATATTCATGAATATGAAATGAATATAAAGCACCAACAATAATGTTTATATTGATGTTTATATATCGTGGATGGATATTGTGCTAACAAAAATTGCTATATTGTAATCAAATTATATGGGGAAATTCCATATTCTGAACCATTCTCACCTGGGATTGGCCCCAGCCTGTGTCCACCAAGTGGGTCATGGGAGTCACTTTGGCCCATTGCTGCAGGAAGTCATTCACCTAGAAACCCAAAATTTGGTCGTGTGCGTTTCTTTTTCTTGGGATCATTGGCGTCTTCCTGCCTTTTTTTAAACATCCATGGCCCATATCAGTTGGGTTGTTCTTTGATTCCCACCAGTTTTCAAGGGCACATTCATTGTTCCTGATGACATCTCAAATTGGTTACCGTCTACAGTCTATCCTCGCATTCATTCCTAAAGTATCATGTTTGTTCCCACCTTTGGCCTCTGGTTTTGTCTGAAGAAAATCGGTACCCAAATTTTGATGCTTCAGACGTGGAGAAAACCCATTGTCCCATTGACATTGCCATGAATTGAGGGTAAATCCGGCACTTTACAGACATATATCATGGCAGTGTTGCATCCCATTATATCCCATATATTGATATTCCCAGACATACCAATAAGTTGCATCCAGACTATATCATGGTAGTATCATAGTCTTGATTAGTCAATTAGCTGCATCCCATTATATCCCCATCCAAATGGCTGGGTGGAAAAACCCCCAACACCCGATTTTTGAAACGTGATGATTTCTTGGTATTTTGGTGAAATCCCCCCATGCTCCCAGATGTAGAAAAGGCATCGCATTAAATTGTTGATTTAGGGGTACCCCCATTTCAAAACAAAAAACACAACAAATGTGGAACAAAATCAGCGGTAACAACAACGCGATAACGTTGAATGCAGACATACGCTAAAGACCACGTGGACAGAAAACAACATGCTAGGTGTCACAGATGCATTGCCGGTCAACAACATGTAATCTCGTTATATGCTAGTCTTGGGAGGCACCCGTTTACAACATGTCTCGTTTTGCGGCGATAAGATGATCTTTCGATATCAAAAATGAATGGCCTATCTTTCGAAACATTTTTTCGCGTATAGGTTCACGAAACACAACCGCGATAGGCGTCGTCGGATTGCGCGCGCGCATTGATTGGCATCAAAACGGTTCTTGCAGACAAGACGGCTCAAATGCACTTCGTTGGAAACCTTTGGTTTTGTTGGCAACATCATTTGATATTCAATTTCTAGGTGATGGTTTTGACGGCGAATATTTATTTTCTTTAATGTTTTAAGGTTGGCTTTTGTTGGCACCAAAATGGGTCTCGTGGGGAAAAAAAAAACGAGAAAAAATGCGGTGTTGAAAACCTTGGCGCTTGATTTGGCAGCATCATCTCATACTCAATTTGCCCACCGGAGCTATTCTGGGCTGAAGACCCCATTAGCTTATGCTGTTAGGGGAAAAAGTCCTCCATATTCATCCATATTCTATCTCCAGGATGATTATATATATATAAGATATAAGATATAGATATAGATATATCCCATGCTCCATCCCCCACAACTGGAGCGTTCTTCGCCCAAAACGCCCCAAAACGCCCAGGGCGCCTTCTCTCGGCTGTAGGCGATCTCTCGAAACTTGGCCACGGCCTGGCTGGGTGGCACCAACAAGGCCACCGTGCGCAGCTTCACCGCGTGGCAGGCCTCGTGGATCACATGTGGAGACTTCATGACAAAAATATCATATTATATAGATATATATATATATACATATATGTATATATATGTAATGTGTATATATATCCGCCGACCCCGGCAGACGCAAGGGGGAGCGCGCTAGGGAATAATACATTTGACCCTGGTTTCGGACTAGTACCATTTCTATATTCTATAGGGTAGAACAGCACATCTACTACTACTACTACTACTACTATTATACTACTGCAGCTACAGTAGATAGAAACAGCAGCAGCAGCAACAGCAGCCAATTTTTTTGCAAAGATTTTCCGTTTCTAGGTTTCAGAAGTGGCGTTAGACCCTTTTTTAGGGTTCCTTTGCTACGTTTTGGGTACGAAATTAGGTGGTGTTTTGCCGTGGCGCATGTGCCACAAAGCCATGCCCTTTGTGATTTGGCGGGTTTGTTGGCTGCAAGATGTAGCGAGCATGCGTAAAAAGTTGCAAAGTCACAGTTTTAGTCGGGTTTCAAAAGTGGCGTTTTACTGCTAGCAGCCGCAGGCAACAGAATCTCTCGAAACATGCTGTTTTTCTAGGATTGCAGACGACACGTTAGGGAGTTTTTTGGCGTGGTTTTGGAACTAGTTCGTCCTTCAGAGGCATGGTGTTTCGCCCCCGGGCGGTGATTTTTTCGAAGCTGTTTTACTGCTAGCAGCCGCAGGCAACAGAATTCTATCAAAAAATGCCTTTTCTTTTATCCTTTTCTATGGGTTTCAGAAGCGACGTTAGAGAGTTTTTGGTGCGATTCTCGGACTAGTTCGTACTTCAGGGCCATGGTGTTTCCCCGTCCGGGAGGGTGGTGTCTTTGTGGGTGAGCAGCACCTCTTCAGCAGCAGAAGACCAAAGTAGCTAAAATCATCATGTTCTATGGGTTTCAGAAGCGACGTTAGAGACTTTTTTGTGGGTGAGCAGCACCTCTTCAGCAGCAGAAGACAAAAAAGTAGCTAAAATCATCACATCATTTTCTATGGGTTTCAGAAGCGACGTTAGAGAGTTTTTTGGTGCGATTCTCGGACTAGTTCGTCCTTCAGGGCCATGGTGTTTCCCCGTCCGGGAGGGTGGTGTCTTTGTGGGTGAGCAGCACTTCTTCAGCAGCAGAAGACAAAAGTAGCTAAAATCCTCATGTTCTATTGCTTTCAGAAGCGACCTCTTCAGCAGTAGAAGACAAAAGTAGCTAAAATGTGATTTGTGACAAAAGTAGCTAAAATGTGATTTGTGATGATCATTTTCTATGGGTTTCAGAAGCGACGTTAGAGACTTTTTTGGTGCGATTCTCGGACTAGTTCGTCCTTCAGGGCCATGGTGTTTCCCCGTCCGGGAGGGTGGTGTCTTTGTGGGTGAGCAGCACCTCTTCAGCAGCAGAAGACCAAAGTAGCTAAAATCATCATGTTCTATGGGTTTCAGAAGCGACGTTAGAGAGTTTTTTGTGGGTGAGCAGCACCTCTTCAGCAGCAGAAGACAAAAAAGTAGCTAAAATCATCACATCATTTTCTATGGGTTTCAGAAGCGACGTTAGAGACTGGGCGATTCTCGGCCTAGGTCGTCCTTCAGGGCCATGGTGTTTCCCCGTCCGGGAGGGCGGTGTCTTTGTGGGTGAGCAGCACCTCTTCAGCAGCAGAAGACAAAAGTAGCTAAAATCATCATTTTCTATGGGTTTCAGAAGCGACGTTATAAACAGTGTCGTGGGTGAGCAGCACCTCTTCAGCAGCAGAAGACAAAAAAGTAGCTCAAAACAAATCATTATCTCCTTTTCTATAGGTTTCAGAAGCGACGTTAGAGAGTTTTTTGGTACGATTCACGGACCAATTCGTCCTTCAGGGCCATGGTGTTTCCCCGTCCGGGAGGGTGGTGTCTTTGTGGGTGAGCAGCACCTCTTCAGCAGCAGAAGACCAAAGTAGCTAAAATCATCATTTTCTATGGGTTGCAGAAGCGACGTTAGAGACTTTTTTGTGGGTGGGCAGCACCTCTTCAACAGCAGAAGACAAAAAAGTAGCTAAAATCATCACATCATTTTCTATGGGTTTCAGAAGCGACGTTAGAGACTGGGCGATTCTCGGCCTAGGTCGTCCTTCAGGGCCATGGTGTTTCCGCGTCCGGGAGGGTGGTGTCTTTGTGGGTGAGCAGCACCTCTTCAGCAGCAGAAGACCAAAGTAGCTAAAATCATCGACTACTACTACTACTACTACTACTACTACTACTACTACTCCTGCTACTACTACTACTACTACTACTACTACTACTACTACTATACTACTGCAGCTACAGTAGATAGAAACAGCAGCAGCAGCAGCAACAGCAGCCAATTTTTTTGCAAAGATTTTCTGTTTCTAGGTCTCAGAAGTGGCGTTAGACCCTTTTTTAGGGTTCCTTTGCTACGTTTTGGGTACGAAATTAGGTGGTGTTTTGCCGTGGCGCATGTGCCACAAAGCCATGCCCTTTGTGATTTGGCGGGTTTGTTGGCTGCAAGATGTAGCGAGCATGCGTAAAAAGTTGCAAAGTCACAGTTTTAGTCGGGTTTCAGAAGTGGCGTTTTACTGCTAGCAGCCGCAGGCAACAGAATCTCTCGAAAAATGCTGTTTTTCTAGGATTTCAGACGACACGTTAGGGAGTTTTTTGGCGTGGTTTTGGAACTAGTTCGTCCTTCAGAGGCATGGTGTTTCGCCCCCGGGCGGTGATTTTTTCGAAGCTGTTTTACTGCTAGCAGCCGCAGGCAACAGAATTCTATCAAAAAATGCCTTTTCTTTTATCCTTTTCTATGGGTTTCAGAAGCGACGTTAGAGAGTTTTTTGGTGCGATTCTCGGACTAGTTCGTCCTTCAGGGCCATGGTGTTTCCCCGTCCGGGAGGGTGGTGTCTTTGTGGGTGAGCAGCACTTCTTCAGCAGCAGAAGACAAAAGTAGCAGCAGAAGACAAAAGTAGCTAAATTCCTCATGTTCTATTGGTTTCAGAAGCGACCTCTTCAGCAGTAGAACACAAAAGTAGCTAAAATGTGATTTGTGACAAAAGTAGCTAAAATGTGATTTGTGATGATCATTTCCTATGGGTTTCAGAAGCGACGTTAGAGAGTTTTTTGGTGCGATTCTCGGACTAGTTCGTCCTTCAGGGCCATGGTGTTTCCCCGTCCGGGAGGGTGGTGTCTTTGTGGGTGAGCAGCACTTCTTCAGCAGCAGAAGACAAAAAAGTAGCTAAAATCATCACATCATTTTCTATGGGTTTCAGAAGCGACGTTAGAGACTGGGCGATTCTCGGCCTAGGTCGTCCTTCAGGGCCATGGTGTTTCCCCGTCCGGGAGGGTGGTGTCTTTGTGGGTGAGCAGCACCTCTTCAGCAGCAGAAGACAAAAGTAGCTAAAATCATCATTTTCTATGGGTTTCAGAAGCGACGTTATAAACAGTGTCGTGGGTGAGCAGCACCTCTTCAGCAGCAGAAGACAAAAAAGTAGCTCAAAACAAATCATTATCTCCTTTTCTATAGGTTTCAGAAGCGACGTTAGAGAGTTTTTTGGTACGATTCACGGACCAATTCGTCCTTCAGGGCCATGGTGTTTCCCCGTCCGGGAGGGTGGTGTCTGTGGGTGAGCAGCACCTCTTCAGCAGCAGAAGACCAAAGTAGCTAAAATCATCATTTTCTATATACCAAACTACTCCCCAGATCCCGCCCATAAGTGCCTCTATCCGAGGCCCTCCCTATTCAGGAGTTTATAAACATATATATATGACTCCTGTTCAGGGCTCTGCTCCCTGTCCAGGAGACTACTCATCCCTATCTTGCATTTCATTGCATTTCATTGCATTGCATCACATTGCATTGCATTGCAGTACATTGCATGGCATTACATTGCATTGCATTGCATTACATTGCCTTACATTGCCTCGCATTGCATTGCATTGCATTTCATTGCATTGCATAACATTGCATTGCATTGCATTGCATTACCTTTCGTTGCGTTACATTGCAATGCATTGCATTGCATTACATTGCATTGCATAGCATTACATTGCCTTACATTGCGTTGCATTACACTTCATTACATTGCATTGCATTACCTTTCGTTGCTCTTCATTGCAATGCAGGGCATTGCATTGCATTGCATTACATTGCATGGCATTACATTGCATTACATGGCATTGTATTACATTTCACTGCATTGCATTGCATTGCATTACATTTCATTGCTTTTCATTGCAATGCATTGCATTGCATTACGTTGCTTGGCATTACATTGCATTACATTGCATTGCATTGCATTACATTGCATTCCATTACATTGCATTGCAGTACATTGCATTGCATTACATTACATTACATTGCATTACATTGCCTTACATTGCATTGCATTGCAGTACATTACATTGCATTACATTGCATTGCATTACATTGCCTTACATTGCATTGCATTGCAGTACATTGCATGGCATTACATTGCATTGCATTGCATTTCATTGCATTGCATTACATTGCATTGCAGTGCAGTACATTGCATTGCACTACATTACATTGCATTGCATTGCATTACATTGCATTCCATTCCATTGCATTGCATTGCAGTACATTGCATTGCATTACATTGCATGGCATTGCATTGCATTGCAGTGCATTTCATTGCATTGAATTGCAGGCTTTCATTTATGGTTTCTTTAGGTCAATTTATGATTTCTTTCGGGTTCATTTTGTGTTTCATGTAGGGGTTTCTGGCAGCAATTCATTCGGGTTTCTTTCGGTTTCACCTACGGTGTTTAAACTTTCATTTAAGATACAAACAGGAAAGAATAAAACAAAAAAAGTAGGATTTCAATTTCATGTAGGAATTCTCTGGAAATTTACATCTCTTAAAGGTTTTATTTCGAGTTTCTTTTGCGTTTCTGTCGGGTTTCATGTCGGGTTTCATTTAGGGATTCTTTCCGACTTCCTTTCGGGTTTAATTTCGAGTGCTATGTGAATTTCTTATCAGAAAATCTTGTCAAGGTTTTCAAACATTCATGTGGGTTTCTTGAGAGTTTCTTTAGAGTTTCATTTCGGATTTCGTTCATGAGGGGTCAAAAAAACACGGGGGAGGTCAAACAAACACGGTGGGGGATCAAAAAAAACAACGCCCTCGTATACTTCGATAAAATATCATGCACCTGTGCGGCGCAACCATGCACCTGTGCGGCGCAACACTAGCTGTATAATAATAGGGCCAAAAATATCGTGTATATATACATATATATATATATCTAACTATTATACAGTTACTTAGATCCATGAACCCATAAAACCATAGGATCAGAATATTAACATGTACTCAAATGAAAAACCCATTTACACATGAAAATTCAAACCTATCAAATTTCTTTCACAACGATATACATAGCAAAAAGGTCGAGAGCCTCAAGGTGCGATACATTTCATTGCGTTACATTGCAATGCCTTACATTGCATTACATTGCATTGCATAGCATTACATTGCCTTACATTGCGTTGCATTACACTTCATTGCATTGCTTTGCATTACCTTTTGTTGCTGTTCATTGCAATGCAGGGCATTGCATTGCATTACATTGCATGGCATTACATTGCATTACATGGCATTGCATTACATTTCACTGCATTGCATTGCATTACATTTCATTGCTTTTCATTGCAATGCATTGCATTGCATTACATTGCTTGGCATTACATTGCATTACATTGCATTCAATTGCATTACATTGCATTCCATTACATTGCATTGCAGTACATTGCATTGCATTACATTGCATTGCAGTACATTGCATTGCATTACATTACATTGCATTGCATTACATTGCATTCCATTCCATTGCATTGCATTGCAGTACATTGCATTGCATTACATTGCATGGCATTGCATTGCATTGCAGTGCATTGCATTTCATTGCATTGAATTGCAGGCTTTCATTTATGGTTTCTTTAGGTCAATTTATGATTTCTTTCGGGTTCATTTTGTGTTTCATGTAGGGGTTTCTGGCAGCAATTCATTCGGGTTTCTTTCGGTTTCACCTACGGTGTTTAAACTTTCATTTAAGATACAAACAGGAAAGAATAAAACAAAAAAAGTAGGATTTCAATTTCATGTAGGAATTCTCTGGAGATTTACATCTCTTAAGGGTTTTATTTCGAGTTTCTTTTGCGTTTCTGTCGGGTTTCATGTCGGGTTTCATTTAGGGATTCTTTCCGATTTCCTTTCGCGTTTAATTTCGAGTGTTATGTGAATTTCTTATCAGAAAATCTTGTCAAGGTTTTCAAACATTCATGTGGGTTTCTTGAGAGTTTCTTTAGAGTTTCATTTCGGATTTCGTTCATGAGGGGTCAAAAAAACACGGGGGACGTCAAACAAACACGGTGGGGGATCAAAAAAAACAACGCCCTCGTATACTTCGATAAAATATCATGCACCTGTGCGGCGCAACCATGCACCTGTGCGGCGCAACATTAGCTGTATAATAATAGGGCCAAAAATATTGTGTATATATATATATCTAACTATTATACAGTTACTTAGATCCATGAACCCATAAAAACATAGGATCATAATATTAACATACACCCAAATGAAAAACCCATTTACAAATACAAGTTCCAACCTATCAAATATATTTCACAACAATATACATAGGAGAAAGGGCGAAAGCCTCAAGGTGCGAAGCACCAAAAAGTTTTTTCCGGGGTCGGCGGCAGGGGCGGCAGCCCTTAAATCCGGGCGCCGGCCCCGCGCCCGTGTCCTCGCCGGAGGCCTTCGGTGGTAACCGAAGGTTATATACGCTGGCCGCCCCTGCCGCCGACCACCTTGGGTCGACCCCGTGTCGATTCGTGTTCACCCCCGACCCACGATTATACGTGTAATTTACAGTGTATTCTGCGGGTGGTGTTCAAAAAACATCGTTTTTTTACAGGGTTTTGTGGCCTTCGCCGTCTCCAGGTTTCATCTTGGCGACGTTAAAAAACCATGGGTGTTTCATGGTTTTGGGTCTTCGGACGGGGTCCGGAACGGAAAACTGGACATCTTGACGGCCTTGGTGCCAACATAGGGCCAACATCGGCCAAGATGTGGGCTACATGGGTCAACATAAGGCTAAGATAGGGGCAAGCCTGCGCCAACATAGGGCCCACATAGGCTCAAGCTGGCCCCAAGATGGCCTAACATAGGCCCAACATGGCTCCAAGATGGCCCAAGACGGCCCAACATAGGCCCAAGATGGCCCCAGGATGGCCAACATGGGCCCAACATGGCCCCAAGATGGCCCAACATAGGCCCAACATGGCCCCAAGATAGGGACTACCTAGGCCAAGATAGGGCCAACCGCGGCCAAGCTGTGGGCTACCTGGGTCGACATTACGCCAAGCTGTGGGCCACATGGGCTAACCTAGGGCCAAGACAGGGGCAAACCTGCACCCAAATCGGGCCCACATCTGTTCAACAAACAACACAAAAAAAAAACGACGACGACCACGACCACAACAACAACAACACACCACTTAACAACGACAGACACACAACAACAACAACAATACAACCAGACCGCAACCAGCTGAGAACAATAACAACCATACAAGAACAACAACAACAGCCGACGACGCGACGACGACGACTGTGACCGCAACGCCGACGACGCCGACTACGACGACGAACGAGAACGCGACGACGGCGACGACGACGACGACGACGGCGACGACGACGACGCCAGACGGTGCCGACGACGCCGACGCCCGACGAGACACGCGCTCCGACGACGGCGACGCCGACGGCGACGACGACGACGACGACGCCGGCGACGGCGGCGACGACGACGACGACGACGCCGGGGACGACGACGACGACAGCAACCACCGCTTCTTTGATCTCGAGCTCTCTGGCTGCGTCTGTCTGTGCGACGGCTCCCGACTATGGCTGCGTTGCGCTAGCCAGGGCAGTCAGCCCCCTCCACTGGGGAGGATGCTACCGGGATGCCCCAGGTCCCGGTCCCCGTCTTGCACAGGGAGGGGTTGCTCGGGCCCCCACCGACTCAGCTCGATGTCGTCGTAGACCTGGCGTGGTGTGATGTGCGCACGGTGGCGGTCACTGACACTGCGTTCGACAGGTTTGGGACACCACGCACTGAACGGCTTTTTTTTGACTGCGACGGACACTGAGTGGGTGCGGTTCTTTGGCTGCTGCCCTAGGCCTTGCTTTGCACGGTGCGCTGAGCGCTGCTCTGGCTGCGGCTGTGCGGTCAGGCTTTTGCATAGTGGCGCAGCTACTTGAAGGTCATTTGCTCTCGGCTGCTGGTGATTATCGGTGCGCCTGAGCGCTGCTCTGACCGCTGCTCTGGGGGTGCAATGGCTGCGGTGCTCTTGCAGAGTTCTGGAAAGGCTGAACCAAACGGCGTGGGATTGTGGTGGATTCTGAAAAAGGTGGCAGCAAAAATGGTTCCTCTCGGCCTGTTCGTCGTGGGACTATGCGTGGATGTTTTTCGGGACTATACAAAGAAATGTTCTGAACTGGCTTCGTATTGTCGTGGATTCTGAAAAAGGTGGCAGCAAAAGTGGTGCCTCTCGGCCGGTTCGTCGTGGGACTATGCGTGGATATTGCAAGCAGTGGCTGACAAAATGGCTGATTTCTGTCATTTGGTGAACCAATGGTTCATCGCTGCCTTGGGGTTTTGCGGGACTATAGAAAGAAATGTTATGAACTGGCTTGTCATTGTCGTGGATTCTGAAAAAGGTGGCAGCAAAAATGGTTCCTCTCGGCCTGTTCGCAAAATGGCTGATCTCTGTCATTTGGTGAACCAATGGTTCATCGCTGCCCTGGGGTTTTGCGGGACTATAGAAAGAAATGTTCTGAACTGGCTTGTCATTGTCGTGGATTCTGAAAAAGGTGGCAGCAAAAATGGTTCCTCTCTGCCAGTTCTGCCCTGTGGCTTCGTGGGACTATGCCGGGGAAAATTATTCAGTGGCTTGTGGACTATAGAAAGAAATGTTCTGAACTGGCTTGTCATTGTCGTGGATTCTGAAAAAGGTGGCAGCAAAAATGGTTCCTCTCGGCCTGTTCGCAAAATGGCTGATGTCTGTCATTTGGTGAACCAATGGTTCATCGCTGCCTTAGGGGTTTTGCGGGACTATAGAAAGAAATGTTCTGAACTGGCTTGTCATTGTCGTGGATTCTGAAAAAGGTGGCAGCAAAAATGGTTCCTCTCTGCCAGTTCTGCCCTGTGGCTTCGTGGGACTATGCCGGGGAAAATTATTCAGTGGCTTGGGGACTATAGAAAGAAATGTTCTGAACTGGCTTGTCATTGTCGTGGATTCTGAAAAAGGTGGCAGCAAAAATGGTTCCTCTCGGCCTGTTCGCAAAATGGCTGCCTTCTGTCATTTGGTGAACCAATGGTTCATCGCTGCCTTGGGGTTTTGCGGGACTCTAGAAAGAAATGTTCTGCACTGGCTTGTCGTTGTCGTGGATTCTGAAAAAGGTGGCAGCAAAAATGGTTCCTCTCTGCCAGTTCTGCCCTGTGGCGTCGTGGGACTATGCCGGGGAAAATTATTCAGTGGCTTGGGGACTATAGAAAGAAATGTTCGGAACTGGCTTGTCATTGTCGTGGATTTTGAAAAAGGTGGCAGCAAAAATTGTTCCTCTCGGCCTGTTCGCAAAATGGCTGATCTCTGTCATTTGGTGAACCAATGGTTCATCGCTGCCTTGGGGTTTTGCGGGACTATAGAAAGAAATGTTCTGAACTGGCTTGTCATTGTCGTGGATTCTGAAAAAGGTGGCAGCAAAAATGGTTCCTCTCTGCCAGTTCTGCCCTGTGGCTTCGTGGGACTATGCCGGGGAAAATTATTCAGTGGCTTGGGGACTATAGAAAGAAATGTTCTGAACTGGCTTGTCATTGTCGTGGATTCTGAAAAAGGTGGCAGCAAAAATGGTTCCTCTCGGCCTGTTCGCAAAATGGCTGACTTCTGTCCTTTGGTGAACCAATGGTTCCTCGCTGGCGTAAGGTTATACCAAAGCTACAGCAGGCTGCCTGCGAACATGCCGTTCGCGACACGTAGGCTAGATCGGCTGCACCGGCACTGCCTCGAAAATAGTGGGCGATCGGCGGCAAAGCTAAGTTGGGCTCCTATCATAGGTGCACGCTGGCTTGGACATTGCGTGGCTGGTGCTGAATGAACTCCGTGTCCGTTTCTCCGGTGGCTCAATTAAAATGGCTGGGACTCTTCGAGGTGCATGGCTTCCGGGACTTCTGCCGGCAAGGAAAAACCCGGGCAGGCGCTGGACGAACGTCTTTTTTTCGGTTGGCCAAAAGAAACTGCCGCAGGTGAGCATGGATGGTCTGCCTCAGGCAGGCGCTGAGTAACGCTCCGCGGGGGTGGGCGTGCTAAGTGATTTTCTTTTTTTGGGTTTGCCAAAGGACGCCGCCGGGCTGGTATTCTGTTCTGGCGGCTCTGTCACTGGGAAGCTTCGCTTGTCTCATGTTGGGCTATGGAAACAATGTCATATGCCGTTGGCTGGCGTCGGATGCATGGGCGACTAACCTCTGCGAAGCCTTTTCTTTGGGACCCCAGTATGGCTGTTCCCGCTGCACGCCTCGCACGTCCATGTTGGCAGGACCTGCGCATGGTATTCACTGCGCGTCCTTGGCCGTGGACGACCACAACTCTCACAGGGCGGATATGCACAGGCTAAACACCATGCACCATCTTGAGCTTTTGGACCAAGGATTTGCCCGCACTTGGGACAAGACTTGACTGTGCAGGCTTCACAGGTCCAGCGCGGCATGACGTTGACACGGTAACGACTTTTTTGCGGGCGTTGCGACCCACAGCTCTCACATGGTGGATATGCACACGCTAAACACAATGCACCCGTTTGAGCTTTTGCACCAAGAACTTCCCCGCACTTGGGACAAGACTTTACCGTGCAGGCTTCGCAGGTCCAGTGCGGCATAACTTTGACATGGTAACGCCTTTCTTGCGGGCGTGGCAGACCGCATATTGGACACGGCGGGTAACCACTGCCAAGACTGCATGCTTGACAGAACCAAAGCGGCTTCTGCTGGGCGTGGTATCTTCTTTCATGTGGGCGGGGCTCGCCGCAACCTCCACTGCACGGTGGATATGCACATGTGGCACACCATGTGCCTGCCTCTGCGTTCCTCGGCAAGGGGCCGGCACAGTTTCCACATTTGGGCGCTGCGGTATTGCGCACACTGCATGCTTGACACAACCAAAACGGCTTCTGCTGGGCGTGGTATCTGCTTTCATGTGGACGAGGCTCGCCGCAACCTCCACTGCATGGTGGATGTGCACATGTGGCACACCATGTGCCTGCCTCTGCGTTACGCGGCAAGGAGCTGCCACAGTTCACACATTTTCCCTTACAGTTTTGGCAATACCAGTCGGATTTCTGCTTGGCATGGTTGGATGTCTTTTGGGGGCGTGGCTGCCCACAACCTCCACTGCAAGGGGGAAAGGCACAGGCAGTGCACCAAGTCCCTGGAGTTGCATTTGCATGCAAGGGCTGAGAACACTTGGCGCAGGTCTTGGGTGCCCGCGCTTGCTTTGCGATGCATGTGCGGCACACTCCGGTCTGGGATTCTGCACTGTAGTTGACCAGGTGGGACACACTGATGGCTTTGTTGCAATTGCTGCACAAACCCTGTTTTGCCTGTGCTGTCACTGGGGCGGCAGCACACTTCTTGCAGCGGGCTCTTCGGAGTTCTTTGGTTTTTTTTCTTCGTGCGATTTCTTCCGGGCTAAAATCTAGCAGGCTTTTTGTTTTGAGTTTCTTCCCGATATCACACTTGCTGCAGGCTAAGCGAATCTTGGCACACTTCGAACAGTAGCCGGTCTGGTCGGCTGGCAAGGTCTGGCAATATGCGCAGGCATTCACTGCCTTGGGCTTCCCCTTGGCTGCAGGGCTACTTTGCTTCGTTTTACACTGGGTGCAAAGGCGACACATGCCGTCTGACAGTACACGGTACCATTCCTCTGGGTCCCAGGCCGAAACGAATTCTCGAAGTGGCAACAGTTTCTCTTGTAGATGCGGTTGTGGACTGCAACCGCGGCAAAACAACAGGATGTCACGATTCTTCTGCTTGTTCGGCTTATCTTTTTCAAAGCGAGCTTTTGCTTCTGGCAGTGTCAGCTTTTCGCGATGCACTTCTAAGAATGTGTGGGGTCCAATTAACTCTCCGTGACTAAACAAGTTGGGGGAGAACGGTTGGACTATGCACAAATCTTCGGTTTTTCGGACCCTTGATAAGCACATGTACCCGCTGAGCTGTGCCTCGCGGGACGTCGTGGCATCCCACGTGCCAAGGTCCAATGTGCATGCACCCAGGGTTGCCCCCATAAAAGAATGCGCTGTGCCAGCGTAATCGGATGCTATTGGAAAGCCGCGTCGGGAGACTGTAGCTTTGCCGTTGGTTTCGAGTGGCCACGTCTGGGTGACGGGTTCGATCCGAGCAACTCCAACGGGCAAGTCTGGGTGCTGTTGCCACTTCGCACCGTCGACCTTGACATACAACGCCCGCGGAAGGCGTTGTAATACAATGTCTTGGCCTGCTACAGCTCCGACGGCCTCTTGGTCGGCCTCGTGGAGTGTCCAATTCCAAAGGGTGCCTCGGGTGTTTTTAAAGAGCCCGAAGGCTTTCAGGTCAGACAGAGTTTGCGTCACTCGGATTGGCATGTTCTGGAGAAGTGGTAAGATTCCGACGACACCGCCGGTGGACTGGTCATGGCGCTGCAACCAATTTTCGCGCCGGGCCTGTAGTTCCGTTGCCTCCACATGAAAAAGCGGGGTATCTTGAGCAATGATCCAAAGCAACTTGTGTTTGCGAGTGGTGGCTACCCATTTCGCACGAAGGTTGGCTGCAATGTACTTGGCGGCATTCAACCCATGCACAAACGGATGGTTGAGGAAATGCTCAGCTTTTGGGTCTTTGCCTACGATGCACCGACATGCCCTTTCTTGGTGGCAAATGACACATTCCAACTGGTCGGGGGCGGTGGCTTGCAGATGTAGGTTGTTGCAAGTTTTTTCGCCGCAGGTGGCTTGATTGGTTTGAAAGGACCACGAGCCCGCATGGAGCGTTGGAAACCCATGTAAGAAAGACCACACTTCCTGCGACATGTTGCCATGCCTCGCCTGGTGAAGAATTTGGCTGAGCCAGGCGTCCTCGCACCGCTGTTCGAGGGTGAGTTCAAACAGGTGTGGGATGGCGAGCGAGGTGTGCGACCAACATAGTTGCTGCAGTGCGTTGACTTGGAAGGTTGTGTTTGACTGAAAAGGGTTCTGGTAGATGGCCGTGGCTTTGACGGGCGGGAACTGCCACAAGTCCCCTGTCAAGATGAGGTTGCGCCCTCCGAATGGCCTCCGTTCTCCTCCTGGCCGAAGTTTCCACGTATCCCGATCTCTGGTAGACTGCTGCAGGCGTTTCTCAAGAGTGGCCAATATTTCGAGCCCGACCGTCGAAGATTCATCCACCACCAGCCACCGTAGTCGTTGATACTTAGCGAACTGTTCCGGTGTGCTGGTGTTTTTTGCTCGGGCCGTTTTGGTTTTCACCTGGATATTGACAAACGAGTGTAGCGTCATGCCAGCAATAAGTGCAGCTTGGGTGTTCTGCGGTGCCAAGTATACAAACTCTTGTTGATGCTGCCACCCACACATATCTTCGAAAAAAGCACGCAACCACTTGAGGGTTTGAGTTTTGCCTGCACCTGGAACCCCGTGGAAGACTGCACGCAACGGCTCACTGCGGGAACTTTCGGCCTGTTCTTCTTGAGCCTCTGTGAGGCAGCGGTCGACGATCGCACGCAGGAATTTCCGTTGTTCGGCTGTGGGTTTACATGCTGACCGCGGCTCTGCCTTTGCTGCGCGCGGTTCTGCGGTGGCTGAGCGCTGCTCTGCACTGCCTGCGGCTGCATCGACTGCCACCGAGCCCTGCTCTGCGAGACGCTGCAACCATGCTGTGGCAGCCTCCGGCGTCAACTTGCCGTAGGTCCAGCGCAGTGGTTCGGTCTCCGACCACGGTGTCGGTTGCTGCGTTTTACTTTGGCTCCGGTCCAGCTTTCTGTCCGTGATACCAGTGTTTACAAACCAAGAGTTTAGGGCATCAACCTGCGGACTAGCTTCCCATTCCTCGACTATGCGGCGTACCGCTGGACCTGACCGTTTCGAATATTCGAAGCCCACGCCTCGGACAAGTTTATCGATGGTGTCAGGCGTTACCCAGGTCGTATCCACTTCATGGTCTGTTGGCTTGGCAGGTGTTTCGGCCAGGTCGACTTCTTCTGGATCACATTCCGTTGCGGAGAGAAAGTTTCGAATGGTGCGAGCTGCATGCTCAGACACAACATGGTGCTGGATATATGCTCTCCATGCTAAGTGGTGACTTCTTGGACCCGGTGCGGTTTTGGTGAACAGGCGTTTACCGGGGTTGAGACTAGTACTTCTTATCTCTAAGTCTAAGGCACTGATGTGCGGGACATGCGGGGTAGCACATTTCAGATCAAGTGTCCAGGGCCTCAGATAGACATTGAGGAGCCTCGCCTGGGCATCCTTTGACATGTCGGGCTTCGGCAACGGACATGTCGTCGGATATGGGATCCGCGGTTCGGTCCGTCTTTCCAGATAGTAATCTTGCACGCGACTGCATCCATTGCACTGCGGTAGCCGGACAAGGTTGGCGGCTCGGCTATTTGGCAAGGGATGTTTCCAAATGTAATCACGGCCATATTGCCAGCCATCCACAGGTTTTGTGTCGGTGCCTTGTTTCCTCACCCAAACACTGAGCCCTTGTCCGTCTTCAGTTGCATTTTTGGTGGGCGGCTGTAATTTTTTAAGACTCCACCATTTGATAAACTCCCACGGACACAAGTGAAACACCCGCTCGTCGGTCCCTCGCCAGCCGTAAATTTCCGATGTCTTTATGGTGGTTTTATAGGGGTTTGGGGGTTCTATTTTATGCCTCACTTCTGTTACGGAGTCTAAGATACTGAGCCAATCCATGCCTATAAATGGGACTACGGGAAAACTCCGGATGCATTCGGCGGTGGTGGGATCGGTCATGTTGCTGAAGCCCGCAAGCATGAATTCCTCTGTGACAGGGCGCACGGAGCAACGAAATTCGAGATCCCCAAAGACTCTATGCACAACTTTGCGGTAGTGCGCTGCCGCGTCATCTTTTGCAGCTGCTTCTTCCAGGAAATGCAATTGCTTGGCTGCTTGTTGTAATTCCTTTTTTCCTAACGGCTGCGGCTTTTGCAAGTAGCCGGTGAAGTATCTGGTCGACCGGCGGGCTGCTTGTGCCATTGCCCGTTGGAGTTTAGGGAGCATGTTTTTTGCCAAACAGCCGCGCTTGCAGTCTTCGTCATGGGTGGTTGCCGACAGCGGCACGCGGAAATTTATTGCAGTATGTGAATTACCAAATACCATGAGGGTGAATGCGTGCAGTGTGCCTGACAACCACGGATCATCTCTTTTGTCTAAGACCATGCCTAATGCATTTCGCCGCCCGGCAGTGCTCTGGGCAAATTTTCGTGCGTTCCCTCTACAAATGATTCGAACTTTATCGTTCTGCACTTTTGGGAAGTTGTGCTTACATTTGTTTGGCGCCCCCTTCTTTCTGCAAGCGGCTAGAGGCAACCGACATTTCTGCACGATGTTCCACGGATGCCAATGCATTTGCTGGTGGCTGATCTTTTTCTGTGCTGCTAGACGGTATTGGTGGATGAAACGGCTTGCGTCGGCCAATGCCTGCTTTGGTTCCACTGCTTCTAGCCATGGACTGGCCGCTTTGTCTTCGGTAAGGAATTGTGGCCACTGACACAAAAAATCGTGGCTTGCTTTGCAGTTGTTCTGGGCCCAGTCTGCTTCGAGGTGGTCTTGCTGTTGCGTATGACTTGCTGGGTCAGGATGAGATTCGGCGTGTGCCCATGTCAAGAATTGGCGCACGTCCTCGAAAGTGATGGTGCTGTCATTCAGCTTAGCTGCAAGTTCACTCAAAGAATGTTGCCAAATGGAAGCGATGTACACGTTGCAGTGGAAATGCGGTGTGGAATTGGCTTGATATTCGATTGCCCCGCATAGGCCGGTGACAAGGCCAAGGATGCCCCCCGTCACATGACACCCGTGTCCGCGTGCATCGCGGCAATCGCATGCTGGGCAACGGAAGCACATACGGATGCCGAGCAGTTTGGCGAAGATGCATCGCACCACTGTTTGGAAGCTGAGAACGACGGCCCACGGATCCCTCGCAGCGAGCTGTCTGCGGGTGTCGTACGGTGGCACTTGGATGGTCGCCTCTGCGGTGTCCCATAGCTTGGGGCGATTGCGTGCGCCGTCTTCGGCTCCGCCAGGGTCAGCGGCGCGATAGCGGCTGAATTTAATGCACAAGGTGTTATGACGGGTGGTTGGGGATATTGTGATGAAGAGCGGTTCTCCCATCTCAACCCTGGCCCCGAAGAGGAAACGTCCAATGCGACGTCGGACTTCAATTGTTCCAGGCATCTGGCCTTGCATGCCTTTGACGTCCTGGAGCAATTCTTTTTCATCTGTGGTGAGGCCTCGTGCGTAGGGCAATTTGCGTGTGTCGAACTGGATGGGTTTCGGCCTTCCACTTGCTGTGGTATACGTGCCGGATCTAAGCTTGTTGTAGAGGCCGCGTGCCGCTTGCACCCACTTAAGCGTTGGTGCCGGTGCCATGGCTTGCCGTTGTGACTTCCATTTCCGCCACAGCGAGCCTTGCCACACGGAGTGCCATTTGAAAGTCAATCTTCTCAGCCCGGGAATCAGGTCCCATGAATTGCGAATTGAACTCTCAATGCGTCCGGCTAGGAGTTTCAAGTGTGCCAAGGGCGGCAAGTGCGGCGCATCTGTGGGCCTTCGTGGTCGCTCTTTGTGGGGGAAGTCCGGACCACTGACAGGCGCGGGGATACTGAAGGGAAAAGCCCATGGCAGAAAATCATTTTGCCACTGGTCCCAGAAGTTGTGCCCGGTTTGAATGGTGAGTGTGTCAGTCGCATTGCTTAATTGCAACAACATGTCGACGTCGGGGTCTTTCCACTCTGCACCTGTATAATCTTGTGACAAGACGTTGGGTCTCACACTGCCTACGAAGGACTCGCCATCTAAAGCTGCGTCTGGGACTGACTCGGGCGTTGCATGCTTCTGCGGCAGCGGCTGGCTTGCGCCTCCACTGGCACCAAGGAAATTCTGAGAATGGCTCGGAAGAGCCGAAGTGGCATCGTCGTACCTTTTGTCTGCTGTGGTTGCCTGAGCGCTGCTCTGGCATGTCACCTGGGGTGAAGGGTTGTCGCCCGGCGAGGCACCCTGCTTGCGCTTTCGAGACACTGGTTGAGATCTGCCTTGGCTCGGTGTTGGCACTGTCACTTCTGGCTTCTGTGACGAGGCAGCTTCTGCTTCGACTTCGGCTGTCACCTGGGCACTGCTCTGACCTATTTTCTCTGCTTCCATCTGGGTCATTCTGTGGGTTGGCATGTCGTGCATGATTGCTTCATCCCCGCTCTGGCTTGCATGCTGTGGAAACCTTTTGCTGTACACCTGGGTTGCGTCTTCGGATTGCGCTTGGGAAACTGTGTTTGGGGATGCCGTCTTGGTGCAGGAAGGCTTGTGGTGTTGCACCTCCGACGCTGGCTGAGACGAGCTCTTGCCGCTCATCATCCGAGAATCGACTTGGTTATTTGAAATGGTTGGTTCTGAGTTCACCCCGGCTGCTGCCTGAGCGCTGCTCTGGCATCTTGTCCGTCCGGAACCGGAAAGCTCTTGCGCCAGGATCTGGCTAGCTTCCGCTCCCACGCTCTCATCTTCTGCTTGTCGCCATTTGTGCCCGAGCAGTTTTGAACCTATTGATGTCACACGAGGCGACGGAGTTTGCTGCAAGTCAACTATCGGCCTCGTTTCGTCCACCCCATACGCCAAAGTCACACGTTCTGTCACTGCTGTTTTTGCCTCCTCTGCCGACAAGTGCGACGCACACATTGGATGTTGCATGTCGATGAGGTGATGCAAGAGTGCACTGACGACCCATGGTCGGATGCGTGCCCCTGCTACCCACTCGATTGCCTCGTTGTATAACATGCCCTTCACATTGACTTTGACAATAGCTTGGAGGACATGTGGCGGGTGAGGCAACCTTTCCCAAGAAGTGTTCCGCCGAGTTTCGGGGGTCAATGCAGCGAGCACCTCTTCCCATGGAATGCTAAAAGAAGAGACATTGCCTCGGATTGCAGTCCTGTGTTCGGGCCGATGCAAATGTTCTTCTATCAAGTTGCCTCGGTCGGCTTCCAGGTAGTAGTTGATGACGGAAGTCCAGACCGGAGAGGCAGCCGCCGCTTCTATCCACCGCACTTTGTGGGTGCACAGCAACTCTGTTGGGTATCCAAACCAATTATCGTTTGCAAGGGCCTCCGGCACTGCACAGGCGCTCTGTTTGCACATGTGTTCGAGGCAATCGCGACACAAGGGCAGTTCACAAGCTTGACATAGTTGCAGTGCACTGTCGGGGCAACGTCCACAGCGAAAATCCTCTGGGCAGCATATGAGTTGCATGCCGTCGCAGATGGTTTCCGGCAGGGTTCGAGTCCACTCATGTGCATCGAACCGATTGGTCACCGCAGCCAGCGTACCATACTGTGTCATGTACCTTTCCAGGTTCCAATTTGCTTTGGCTGCTTCTGGGGTCAGTGCACCGAATAACTGTTCGACAGAGATGTAGGCAATCTCCCCTCCCATGCCCCCAGGACACACTCGGGCGCAACAGGCACAAATCAGTGCTTGGCAAGTGTTATCGTCCAACTCGACCCGTAGTCGCCGCAGCGTGCGCCGATCGACGCTCCAGCCAACTTGTGGGACCTGTCCACGTTCCTTTTCTATCAATGCTGCCGCGTATGTTGAAGCCACAAGTTCCCGGGGTATGTCTGCAAAGTGTTCAGAATGACACTCAGCGAGGTGTGCCCACAAACACACCTCACCGTTTCCACAGCACTTCAAGGTCGTGTGTGCCCATGTTGTTGCTTTCATGTTCCACACTTTTTCCTTCGACCAGTGCGGGTTTGTGTGTCGGCTGCCCACCCGCATCCCTTGAAGGCGCAATGCACGGCTGGGTATACGAGACCACTACTAGGCTGCATGCTGGGGAAGTCTGTCATCGCGGTTGGGGATGGCAGCAGGGGATGGTGTCGCAGTTGAGATGCTGTGCGTCGAATGCGTTCTTGGTCACAATCTTCGACCGTGACCCATGTCTTGGTCGAGTCCACGGCGACTTCTACTTCAGCCTCACCTGTGGTCTCGGACAGGTTTGAATCCCAGGAAAGCAAACTTTCAGAATCCACGTCGGTTGCTGCGCCTTCCGACGCTTCTGCGTCGTCATGCCCTGCCCAGACGCCAGCGGCTGCCTCTTTGTCGGCTTCAGTTGTGTCATGCACCTCCTGCGACCGATTTGGCTGCCGCGTTGTTGCTTCCGATTCTGTCGCAGTGGTGCGGCTCGTCTGCTGCGATTGCCCGGCTGACTCTGTCGTTAGCCGCTCTGCATCCTCTGTGGCATGCGGTTCACTCACTGCACTCGGATCTGCAACGTGCGATGACTGACTCTGCAGCGACATGGGTGCTACTTCCACTGGGTTTCGGAGGCTTTCTGCAGCAAGACACAACACTGCTTCCGCACTCTGTGTTCGCCAAGTTTCCAACCATGGTGTTTCAGGGAATGGTTCGCGCAATGCTTCCGCCCGTTGGACGAGGTCATAGTGCCCGGTGATGCCAGTGTTTCGGTGGAAAAGCTCTAAGACATTGGAATGTTCTTGCAACTTCTGTTGTGTTTCTGCATCGGTGATGTAGGCCATGTCCTGGATCCAAATGTTTTTATTATCCTCCTGGCTCCAAATGAGACAGTGAAAGTCAAAGGCTTGTGTGAGTGCCCATAATTCCACCACGGAGCCATGGTGAATGGAATCCAACATGCGGGGCTTTTCCAACACTGCAACCACTTTACTCCAAAGCACGATGTCGGCAGCTGTCAAACCTTCTGCCGCCTCCAACTGCTCTGCTTGCTGAAGGAACCCCAGATGTAGGCCTGCTTCGCGGTCATCAAACGGCACACTGGCAATCGCAACCTCATCTGCTCTGGGTCCATTCTTTTGTTTGCACATCCATTCTAAGGCTTGCAAGTATAACTTTGCAGCTTCAGATATCGACCATGACTGCCAACCGCGACAATGGCGAAGGACTGCATGGAAAAAACACCAACCATCACCAGGGATTTTGGTGAGCTCACAACCTATTCGAGTCTGCACACGGTCGGCAATTTTCCGGTCCTCCTCCTCCTCCACTTCTTGCTGAACACTCGGGTTGCCCGGTTCTGGTCGTATGCATTGGCTGGGCGTGGACTCTTCTGCTTGTCGTCCGTTGGCTTTCTGCATCGTGTTGCCATGCATTGCACGCATCAACTGGTTTCTAAGTTTGCGAGAGGTTGCCCATGCGTTCCTGACTGGTTGCACTGCTGCGATGTTGCTCTGGCAAACGCACTCCACACATACCCAACTGGCTGGTGAGAACAAAAAGATGGCTGCAATCAACATTTGCAGTCTACTTCGTGGCGAACCTGGTTGCCGCCTTGCTTTTACCCGAGCTTTGCCCACTCGACGTGCCTTCCTAACCCACCCACTGCGCAGGCGTGCACTGGCTAGAGCACGTTGCGCTTGGCATGCAAAGACACAGGTGAAGAGATTTACTGCAAACAGGACATCTGCTTGCTTTGTGCTGGCACACAAGCTTGCCGAGATTACAGCCATGCCCCACGTCAAGTATGTATATTTCCCAGGCACCCTTCGCGTCCAGTGTGTGTGCTTGCTGGATCGGTTGCGCGACCCCTTGCTCTGCGCAGCATGCACTGACTGTTGCTGCGCGCAGCAATGCTTCTTGACCTGGGAAGCAAGCCAGAACACCATGCTCACTGCTATGCTGTAGACAGCTACCTGTTCCACTCATTTTCTAGTTGTGCAATGCTCCTTTGTCGGGGTTTGCTCTGTGCAGTACATTTTCCCCCCTACTTCTTCTCTGTTTACGTGTATGTCTTTCTGCAGTGCTCCAGTTTTACACTTCCTACGCCTACGTCTCCTACTTCAGTTCGTGAAGGGTGTGCGTGTTACTTCTAGTCGTGAAGGGTGTCTGTGTTTACTTCTCTGTCGACTTTCTTTGCTTAGCCTAGAGCCTTGTCGCAACAGCCGCGGAGAAACTGCGTGCCCGACTTTGTTTACCAGTGGCGGTGTTTGCTGTCCCCTGTTCAAAGTTTAGCCCCCTCGGTGTGTTTGAAACATTGGCTGAAACATTCGTTGACGCTTTTTCACAGACTACTTCAACCAGCGGTTCCGAGACACTGCTTTCGGTCAACTGCCCACGCTCAACCCACTGCAACAGCCACGCCGCAACCCCAGCCCAGTGACCTTGAGTAGGTCGCCAGTTGGGGGGTCGCATTTCTAGTTGCCCACTGCCTGTCACTAAGGTGTTCCTAGGGTGCGCAATCCTTGTCGAGGCTCTTCAAAACGTCTCGGAGACCAACAAACGAGCCAGGCCACCAGTAAACCAGCCAGAGTGGCGATGGAGCACCTGTCACCAGATATCCAGAGTTGTGGAATCACTTTCCCACACCTTTAATACAACGCATTTGCAGTCAGTTCAGTTCTCTGCTCTTGCAGTCAGTTCCCTCCGGTCTCGCGTCAGCGAGGTGCGACAAACGAGGCAGGTCACCCGCCAGCGCACCTGTCATCATGTTTCAGCTGCCATGCACTCAGTTTGTAGCAATCATGCTAACTCATGCAGTGCTGCTGCAGTCCGTTCAGTTCTGTGCTTTTGCAGTCCGTTCCCTCCAGTCACTCTTAAACGAGCCGTTGCACAAACAACGCCAAAGCCGACTCACGACTGGAGAAGTCACCGGGTGAAAGCTACAAAACGAAAAAAGGAGTAACAGGCTGTGGACTGAACTCAGATGAGGCTGCTGTAAGTGTGCAGCTTGGAAAATTATCTGCTTCTCTACTTCCTTCCAGGGGGGCCCTGCCAGCTTCCCCGGACAGCGTGCGGCTATGCAGCCCACCGCCGGGAACTCCCTGCTCTTCAAACTTTTTGGCTTTTCTCCAGGGGGGCCCTGCCAGCTTCCCCGGTCAGCGTGCGGCCATGCCGCCCGCCGCCGGGAACTCCCTGCCTTGACTTCAGTGCCAAACGAAAAAAAATATAGATAAGTATAATATATATATATATCTCTATATCTATATCTATATCTATATCCGTTCAGTACTCTTGCAGTCAGTTTCCTCCGGTCTCTCTTAAGCGAGCTGAGACAAACTAGCCAGGCCACCCGCAAACTTGCCGGAGTCGCCCCAGAGCACCTGTCACCATGTTTCAGCAGTCACGCGGTCAGTTTTCAGCAGTCATGCTAACGCAGTGCTGTTGCAGTCGCGTCAGTTCTGTACTCTTGCAGTCAGTTCCCTCCTGTCTCTCTTAAGCGAGCTGCGACAAACTAGCCGGCCCACCCACAAACTTGCCGGGGTCGCCCCCAGAGCACCTGTCACCATGTTTCAGCAGTCACGCGATCAGTTTTCAGCAGTCATCCTAATGCAGTGCTGCTGCAGTCGCGTCAGTTCTGTACTCTGGCAGTCAGTTCCCTCCAGTCTCTCTTAAGCGAGCCGTTACTCATCGCAAACATGTCGGAGAAACGAGCACTTGCGGGCTCCAAACATGCTGGCTTACCACAAACATGCCATCGCAAACATGTCGGAGAAACGAGCCACTGCGGACTCCAAACATGCTGGCTTACCACAAACAGGCCAGGCCGCCAGCAAACGCGCCGGACTCGCCTTCGAACGCCTGTCACCACAATGCAATAAGTCTGAATGCAGCCGTCTGCAAAAAGAACACTGCCTACCTACTGCTTGGAGCCACAGGTTGCTTACAGGGATGTTCTCGATCAAACACGAACAACCGGGGCAACCAAAGCCACAAAAAAAGGGGGATGGCTGGATGTTGTATGAACTCGGGCTGACGTGAGCCTGATGTAGCGCTGCAGCTTGGGAAAAAATACTCCTTGCAGTAACGACTTATGAACCTCAAAGACTGCATCGGTTGTCCACGAAGAAGCCACCAATTTTACCGTCCATAAGCTATCCACAAACCAGCAACAAATAACCGATCCCTTACTTTACTCCCTCCCAAGCCCCGCCGTTCCACCCGGCACGACACCTACCTCGGTGTCGTGTTCGACTACGATGCACTGTAGCAACCGGCCACGCCGAGCCTTTCTTCATCAAGCTGCAGCCCTAAACCACCGCCGCTGCCAGCGCTGAGCGCTGCTCTGCGCTCGCTCTCGCCGTGTACGCGTCAGACAGACGCAGACATGGCCGTGGTTTCCAAATGCATTTGATCATCTCTAACCACACTAAACACTGATAACAAATAAGGTTGCAAACAGGGATGAGGCCATGTATCGTTAACAAACATGTTGGCTACCCATCACTGCCTCTCGTAACTCTGTACCCCTCCACTTGCTAACTTCTACTCATCCAACGTTGTTGCCTCGGTGAAAACACTTGAAACAACTAACCGTCTGCGGCGAACCGACTATGTGCTAGACCACTGCGATGGGTTGCGACCCAACAAGCAATAGCTGGGCCCTGATGAAGAAATTGGTTCACATCTACCTCTGGTTACAACAAAGGTTGCCAGCGTTGATGCTTGCTTCTCTCGCTTGCGCAAACTCAATGTGCAAGATGGCTCTCCCGACTTCGGTGTACGCCACGTACACCCGGGCTGTCAGCCCCCTTCGGATGAAGGATGCTGCCGGGACGCCCGAAGTCCCGGCCCCCATCTTACACAGGGGGAGGTTCAGACAACCCCCAACGCGTCAGTAACACCACACCAACAGCAACCACCAACACAACAACCACAACCACGACATACTACCCTGCCGCGATTGCGACCCAGAACATGGACATGGATGACACCCAACGCACACCTTCCACGGGTCTGCTTTGGCCGGCGCCCGGCTGTCAGGCGTAAGCCTCATAAATATATATATTATGATTTTTAAATTTAAATATCGATATGTTGTGATTAAACATGTCAAACATGCTACATATATATACATATATATATATATATTGAACTGGCGTTATAATATCCAAGTAATGGCCTTATATAATAATTATCTTATACATGTTAAACATGTTATAAATCTTATGGCTTTAAAATGTTTGATGAGAACAATATATGTATATAGCGACCGACTTAGACTTAGAAACATGTATTTTTCCAAAATTGTGCGACAAACGCTTAGAAACTCCAAAATTTATCAAAAAAACAGTTTCTGAGTGTTGATTTTAAAAAAAAAAAAAACACACTTAGAAATGCCCTCAACACTTAGAAACCTCCTTTGGGGTTATGTTTGTTCCAAAATGTAGGTCGGTCACTATATCTGAACAAACATATATATCTGAACAAAAATGAGAAAAACATGATACTTTTCTAGGAAATTGATTAACAAAAAAAAACATGATAAAACATGATACTTTTGGTGCCCAAAAAGTACGTTAATTTCCAAACGAAAAAATATGATAATTTGTTTCTAAGTGTTAATGGAAAAAATGATGTTAAAATTAGGGTAGTTTCTAAGTGTTAGTGACAAATATAATAATTGTGTTTCTAAGTGTTGACTTGTTTGGTTTCTAAGTGTACACTTGGTATGTACCATTTTGCCTCTATTTTTTTAACTTTTTCCAAAATTGTTTCTAACTGTAAGTCGGTCGCTATAACTGATATTAAGCCAATTGTATGTTTAGGGATAAGTTTAGAAAAAGAATAGCCTTGGCCTTATCCACCGAATTGTATATTCAACCATGGGTGTTTTTTTTTGTCGCCTGTTGTTGGGAAAAATGTCATCTGATGGTCAAGAATTGGGAGTTGATCCAACAAAACATTCCCTCCGTGGGGATGGGGACCCTGGGGATGGCATCAGGAGCAATTTTCGGAAAATTGGGACTAAAGATGCCGATTTTTTTTGAAGTCCAAGGATTACATCTGTCCAATGGCTGATTGTAGGTGAGTTGTGATGATTTACCTGGAATTTACCTATTACATAACAATGTTCCATAACTATTTTGCAAAAATACAAACTAAAATACCATAAAGTGTTTATCTCTATTGTGGATGAGTTATTAATTGCTAAAGGGATAAGATAATCATCATTTTCTCATAATATCTTATTATACCCTCTAAAATACCAAAAAATCCATCCGCCGTGCCTCGTGGATCTTCTTGATGGCGTTGAAGGTCTCCTCATCCTCCAGGTCGAACAGTGGGAAGTCATCTTTGAAACAACATGAAACAACATAGAGCCCCAAGTTGAGACAAGTAGAATCATGGTAAATTCATGGTAAAATCATGGTAAACACATGAACTTGGTAAAATCATGGTAAAAATCCCACTCAAAAATTGATAAGTCACTTTTCGGTATCCTTTAAGGCTTACTGTATGATCTGTAGCTGGAGACCTTCCACTTAAGTTCGATTGCAAGAGGTAAACTGTTTGATATCCTCGCCACTGGCCAAATCATTGGTGCCCAACATGATGAACGCCAGGTCGAAGGTCTTCTCAGACAACAAGCGTTCCTTAGAGCCACACCCCTGAGATCTCTTCGGAGATGTGACGGACTTCAACTTCCGTCCAAAAATCCAAAAATGATCCAGAAATTCATGGAGGCCACCCATCAACCTCTCCCAAAATATCAACCCCAAAAAATCACTGGGATTGGTTGGGTTCCCAAACGAACCGTTGACCCCATCCCAACGCATCGGGCGGCGATGCCGGGCCCCGTGCGACGCACGGCGTCGCGGATCTGGGCCGAGTTCTTCTTCTTCTGCCAGGGAAGTGGCCAAATCCCAAGGCGCCAAAACCCCTTGGAACTCTGCAAACTCCAAGTTTAGAAAAAAAACAGAAACAGAAACAAAGATCATTGAGTTGCAAACATCAGCTAGTTAGTTGTTTCATGTTGTTTCTAGCAGGTTTAGCATGTTGCCATAGGTAAAATCACCATATTTCACAGGTAAAATCCATGGCAAATCCGGAAGGCGCGCGCCAGCAGCTCGGTGGCTTCCAAGCCGCTGAGACCGCAGACCCACCTGGGGAAGAAATGGATAGGTTTCACCAGGGCCCAGCCACTGGAGAAGTGGAGTTTAACAAAGTTTAACCATGAAAAATGGTGGTTGAACAGGAACTGAATATGATATAAATGGACAATTGGAATACTGTTTGAATATGGAAAATGGATGAAAATGGGCCATAGAAATAGACGGTTTATGAATTAAGAACCTGAGAGGGGGGAACGAAAGCCATAGTTTTGCAGTGCTATTTTCTTGCTGGAAACCATACATCGATGAGCGAGCGCGTCATCACGACGTGCGAGGCAGTGGTTGCTTCGTACGGCCTAGTTGCAATGGATAGTTGGGAAGCTACTGACGTGTGCCGCCCAGAACACTATAGATGAAAGACCTTTGTACGCCTAATCCAAAAACCTGAAATGTCACCCACCCCAAAAGAATGCAAAAAAACCCAGCAGCATGACCGTTTTTGGCATTCCCCGGCCTGCCCGCCCCCCCGCGACCCCCCCTTAACTCTCTTCGCTTGTAGCAGGAACTGAAGCCAAACCCATTGAGTTCGTGGATTTCCCATGTTGCCTGTGTTTGATGACACCGGAGGATAACTATGATGACCAATGACTCACTATGATGATAGCTTATGTAATTGGTATTACCAGTAAGTTGTTAGGACTTATAACTTATGATAACTAGTTGATAGCAGCCATAAATTAGTCAGACTTAGTCAAAACTAGTCATAATTCACTCGGCCGAGTGTGATAATTCCAGTAGTCGGAACTTCGTAATGATATGTCATAAAGAAAAATCTATCAGGAATATCAGTACTGCTAACAGGGATTCTCAGTACTGCTCCAGATGGGTCACAATTCGTAGTGATTTATATCTGGAGCACAACTCATGGGGCACTTCTCTCGACACCAATCTGGTCTCCACCTGGCTTCGTCAATTGTGGTACCCCAAAATGTCGTGCTTCATATCTTCAAACATGTCACAAAATAGTGGGGTGTTTTCATTCACAATTTTTGGAAATATACGGAATAATATAGACTGGATCATGGCTGCACTCTACCCCAAAATTGCCAAGAATGCTATTAGGCTCTTTCAATTTATTCCAGTATGGTGGAAATTTTGGTAATTTCCCCAGTCATAGGTCCCACATCTGGTGAAATTTCACCCATCAAAAATGGCATCCCCACAGCTCGTGGGGCTCCGCAAGCCGCAGCTCCTCCCCCAGCGTGGCGGCGTAGGGGGCGAAGAGCCGGCCGCAGGCATGGAAACCGGCCGTGAGACTGTCCTGAAAAGGGGCTGGAGCTGGGCTGGGAGGAATTTTGATTCCTGAGATCTGTTTTTTGAGATTTTTGTTGGTGAGTTTGTGATATTTTGGGGAAATACTACGAATAAGGTGTGGAGATTTAAGGATGGTGCTCAAATTGGGGGATGCGGTGAGGGATCGAGTTGGCGTTGAAGTGCAGAGTCTATGGAAAATGTCATAAAATTCGTGATAAGGCGGCAAGAAAAATCTGGGGAAAGATGATAGGAGATTTAAGGGACTGAGAATCGCCAATGTGTTTCATCTTTGGGAATCGTAGGTTGGTGGTATCAATTTTCACCCCAAGGCCCCATGGCCCCTTTGCGATACCACCAGGTAGGGCTATCTGACGCTACCCAAGTAGGGGCGCCGAATTCCAGGCTTGTGAGGAAGATGTTGGCACAACCCATTTGAGGTTCAAAATCTCTATCCAAATCAGGTTGGTTAGTATAATCCCCTATAATCATTGAGATATACTAACCCATATATATTGGGATTAACCAAATGATCCCAATATATTGGTTAGTATAATCCCCTATAATCATCAACCAACAGGGGTATTGAACACTGCCCGAGATGCCCCGTAGAACAGCCACTTCACTGGCTCCATGGGCGCCGACACCGCTGCCGACTGACGGAAAGGACAAAAAGGGGTCAGGACACCAGCAAAAACAACGGGACACCGGAAGAGGAAAAACGGAAAGGACAACCAAAAAGAAGTACGCTTTTTTTAACAAGGGAAAGATCGTCCATTCATTTCTTTTCATAACAGAATGTTTATTCTTCAACTATCTTCAGCTCAACTTGGGTATGGTAGATTCATAACAGTGGTCAAGTTCTTTGACCCGAAAAATCAGATGTTTTACCGTTCCAAGGATGTTATTTTAATAAGGTGTGTGTCATCTTTCTCCATCCATATCGCCAAAAACCATCAAAAAAAACTACCCCATTGATCCTATTGACCTATATGCCATTCACCACTTCTTCACCCAAATTTCAGGAAAGTCTCCTTCCAAAAAAAATAGGATGCCCAAAAAATGTGATGATCAATCATCATTTCCCCGATAAAGATTGCAATAGATCTGTGCAAATCCCCAAAAATATCATCTTGCTGGTTGGTTATATCCCATTATATCCCACTATATCTTCCCATGATCTATTCCTCTTGAATCCCCATATAATATATCCTACTCAATATCATAATAAGTTGGTTAAGTTATCTCATTAGAAACCTATTCATATCCCATGAAATCCCTATTTGGTGGGTGTCTTAAAATTGGAGATCCCCAAGTCACCATAGGTTTCAATACTCAAATGGTCTAATAACTTGGATGATTTGGGGGTACCCTCCGATATGTATTGTTGATATGTTGCTGTTGCTGATACTTATTTCTATCTCAGCAGCCCATTCATATCCCATGAAACCTACATTTCTTTATATGTAAGCCGTATATATATATATATAGATATATATGTATATATATATATGTATATAATGTCAACCCCGGATTAATAAACCATGGTTTATTCATTT